TTTATTAAACATTCTGCTCTAATCACAGAAGTGCTGACAGAGTGCTCCTTTTCTTCTGTATTACCGGAAATTTCAAATTTCGAGAGCCTTGTACTACGGAATGCACTGGTATCGTTGAATTTTCAAAATAAAAAGCTGAAAATTTAGATTTTGTGTCTTCAATGGGACCATTTGTAATAGAATCTTTCGTTGCTTGTTTTGATCTTGACATAGGATAAGTGTCACAAAAAAAGAAAGTGCATCATTGGTATTCATCTAAAGCACTGTTGATGCTGGAAAACAAAACATATGACCTCACAACACCACAATTTTGGCTCTGGAAAAGCCTCCGCACTAATTTTCAATCTTGTCGTGCACCATAAGGCATTGTTCAGGATTCTTGATTTCCATTTTTTTGCCTTTTTGCGATGACTGCAAGCACGATAGTCCGAAAAATGAATCCATATGAATTTTTTTTGGAGCCACCTTGCAAACCCTATACGAGTGTGTCTTGGCATGTCTTGGCGCCAAGCTTGCCAGCTGGGGTTACCAGGTAAACAGTCTGTAACCGTTATGTTTGCCATGTGAAATGCGTCGAACAAGTCGTTCGTTCAGCAGGCTGGGACTATGTAGTAATTCGGGCAGATTTTCTTAAAAGGGTTTCAAAGGTCGAGCGCAGTAGTTCCAGATCGCGGCTCTTGTACTTGATTATCATAGTAGCCAAAAGTGTCCACTGCTCTAACGCTGCATTCAAGCTTGCAAGCACAGAAACAATACTCAGTTTCATAGTTTGTTGCTCAGTTTTCTGGTGTATTGGATTATAGCTCAATAATTTTGTAGCAGCTCTTCGCCGATGCTTCGTATGTGTTTACTAACTCCAACCCGTACCTTGACTATCCTCGTCCCATGCTTCACAAAACCGTGAATATTGGTGGAATCACAGTGTCGAATGACCCAAAGAAAGACAAGCTTCCAGCGGTAGTGCTTTATGGTAAAATCATATATTTAAGCGATATTGCGTACTTGTAGAAATGGGATGCAATTCTGAACGAACGG